GGAGAGCAACTTCAGGGGCTTTGTCAGATGTTTTGAAGCTATCACACCAAAAAGCTACGTTGGACCAAGGCAGCACGGCTCCACAGGACCGGAAGTTTGGGTTCAGTTACTCGAGGCGTGACAGTCCCAGGAAGGTCCTTCTCATCAGCTGTCAACCCTCGGAGGAGGACCAAACACTGGTTAAATCCTCACCCAGAGTGACTGCACACTTCTTCCCGTTTTACCCACTATCTCTTCTCTAATGTCACCCAGGGCAATCTCCAGCCTTTCCCCATTCCTTGCCAGGCCTGACATTCAGCCACTCCAGGAGAGAGACTCGATTTCCCCGTTCAAAGGGCCCGCTGCAAGCTCTGGGCTACAGCACCTCAGCTTAGCTTCCCCAACCCGTCCTGCTCTCACTGTGCTCCACGCCCTCTCTGTGATATGCTCCTCAATTCCTCGCCTAAAAACTGGAGCTATGGCGGCGTCATCCCCCCTGGAATCCTGAGGCACCTCGAGACCTCCAGGGCCCCCGCCACCTTCTGGTGGAAGGACCTTTCAGACACTGGCAGGCTCACGCAGCCCACCTCACTGCACAGTCCCCCCTCAGCTCTCTTCTTCTGCTTAGTCTTCACAATAGAGAAATGTGACAACAGCATACCACCTTCTCCAATTTACCTCTCCCTCCGTGATGTTTTTATCACATTGTGCATGCTTCTGATGCCAGAGTCCATTCTGCCCTGGATTTCAGTAGTTTGCAGGCCGAGACGTATGTCCTCTCACAGACCCTGAGGCTGACTGACTCACGCTGCCACCCCAGCACTATGTCGAGATCTGGCAGATCACAGATGCTCAGTAAGCATCTGCTGAAACTGAACTGTAATCCAGCAGCTGAAACAATGTCCCGTAATCCCACTGACAAGTTAGGATCCAAACAAGAGGTTTACTGAACGTCCACACCATATGTGATAGGTGCACAGAATTCATTTTCTTCACCAGTACTAAGAATTCTATAAGCGGCCTATCACTGGCTCCATTTTATAAAAAGGATGAGTTAAAATTACTAATTATAGGGGCCGGCCCGGTGGCGCAGCAGTTAAGTGTGCACGTTCTGCTTTGGCGGCCGGGGCTTCACCGGTTTGGATCCTGGTTACAGACCTATGCGCTGCTTGTCAAGCCATGCTGTGGCGGGCGTCCCACATATAAAGTAGAGGAAGATGGGCGTGAATGTTAGCTCAGGGCCAGTCTTCCTCAGCAAAAAGAGGAGGATTGGCAGCAGTTAGCTCAGGGCTAATCTTCCTCAAAAAAAAAAAAATACTGATTATCACAGTCACACAGTTAGAAGGCAGACGTGCTGGGAGTTGAAAGCAAGGCTGTTGGGTTCTGAGGCTCAACAACTTCAGTGACAATGAAGACCCAAAAGTCAGCCCAGGAGCTGTTTAAAGTTATTTCTTTACACTGTTTATACACAGACATTCCTTACACTGTTTATATCTTTTCACTTGTCTGAAAATCAAGACCCACTCACAATTGTAAAAACAAAACCAACAAAAGCCCCTCACAACTGAGGACAGAATAGACTTCTTTGACGTGATAAAGGACATCTAATAAAAATCTCCTGAAAACATCACTCCTACTAACGAAGTATTAGAAGAGTTTCTTTTGAGATCAGAACCAAACAGCGATGCTTGAAATCACTTCAACAGATCTTAGCAGGCATGGTAACAAAAGAAAAAGAAATAAGCAACATGACTGGAAAAGAAGGCACAAAACTGCCACATGCAGATGACACGATCACCTAGATACAATTAAGATGGAATCCACAGACACGGAATTAAAAAGAATTCAAGAAGCTTGCCGAAAACAAGATTCTAAAAATCCATTGCGTTCCTATACGTGAGCAACTACTAATTAAGCAAGTTAATTTTACAAAGGTGCCCTTTATAAACAACTGTCAGGTACAGAAGAGGGACGAGTACAAAGTCCGCCTGCAAGATACTGCACATAATTAGCCTTGCACTCAGCGATAGCCTCTGCCGTCTGGCCTCGTGTTCACGGATGATCTGGCTTCAGGCCCCTGCGGCACACTGATAAGTCCGCGTCACAGGGGGCTTTAAGGTCCAAGAAACGTCCCCTCCTTCAGAGAAAAAGGACACCAGACTCTGGGTGGCTGTTTCATGTTAGAGTTCTATGAAAAGGTGTAATCCTCTACCAAGGTTGCTGAACTAGATAAGGCTACTCCCAGGAACACCTTCCGGTTATTATAATCTAGGTGCCAAGTGCCTAGTCAACTGGCACCTCTCGTTTCCTATAATATTTACAACACCTCTGCAAGGCGAGGATTATCGCCTTTTTGCAGAAGAGAGACATTGACACAGGTGAAATGACTTGCCCGAGGTCACACAGCCAGCGGCAGAGGCCGGGACTTAGACTCAGGCATCTCTGCTTCCAAAGTCCGGATTCCACCCGAGAAGCCCCTCTGCCTCTCCAGCTGACCCCCGGCGTCAGGACAGCAGCTGGACTTCCTTCGGAAGGTTAAGGAGCTGCCAGCTGCTCTAACGCGTGGTGGCTGGTAGCTGAAATCACTCACGCCCCGCAACTGCCTGCTTCATCCCGCCCCCCAGTGGTCCCCACCCCCTGGGGCAGCCTCCTCCTCGGAGGTCCCCCCACGGCGCACGATCCCCCCTCCAGGCACACAGAAGCCCCGCGGTGCACGATCCACACCCCCCGCCCCCAGCACACAGAACCCCCGCGGTGCACGATCCACCCCCCACACACAGACACAGAACCCCCGCGGGCGCACAATCCCCCTTCGGCATGCGGTCCCCCCTCCGCGCCCAGTCCCCCAACAGCACACGGACCCCCCGACTGCGCGGTCTCCCCACCCGGGCTTGCAGAAAACCCAGGCTCACGGTCCCCCCACCCCTGCTGGCGGGAAGCCGGGCTCGCGGTCTCCCCTCCCCGCCTCGCGGGAACCCGGGCTCGCGGTCTCCCCTCCCCGCCTCGCGGGAACCCGGGCTCGCAGTCTCCCCACCCCGGCTGACTGTAACGCGGGCTCGCAGTCTCCCCACCGCGGCTCACGGTCTCCCCACCTCGGCTCGCAATAACCCGGGCTCGCGGTCTCCATACCCTGGCTCGCAGTAACACGGACTCGCGCTCTCCCCAACCGGACTCGCGGTAACACGGGATCCTGGTCCCCCAACCCCGGCTCGCGGTAACCCGGGCTCGCGGGAACCCGGGCTCGCGGTCTCCCCTCCCCGGCTCGCGGCAACCCGGGCTCTTGGTCTCCCCTCCCCGGCTCGCGGCAACCCGGGCTCTCACTCTCCTCTCCCCGGCTCGCGGTAAACCCAGGCTCGCGGTCTACCCTCCCCGGCTCGCGGTAACCCGGGCTCTTGGTCTCCCCTCCCCGGCTCGCGGCAACCCGGGCTCTCACTCTCCTCTCCCCGGCTCGCCGTAACCCGGGCTGGCGGTCTCCCCTCCTCGGCTCGCGGTAAACCCAGGCTCTTGGTCTCCCCTCCCCGGCTCGCGGCAACCCGGGCTCGCGGTCTCCCCTCCTCGGCTCGCGGTAAACCCAGGCTCTTGGTCTCCCCTCCCCGGCTCGCGGCAACCCGGGCTCGCGGTCTCCCCTCCTCGGCTCGCGGTAAACCCAGGCTCTTGGTCTCCCCTCCCCGGCTCGCGGCAACCCGGGCTCTTGGTCTCCCCTCCCCGGCTCGCGGTAACCCGAGCTCGCGGTCCCCCACGCCGGCTCGCGGTAACCCGGGCTCGCGGTCTCCCCACGCCGGCTCGCGGTAACCCGGGCTCGCGGTCTCCCCACGCCGGCTCGCGGTAACCCGGGCTCGCGGTCTCCCCTCCCCGGCTCGCAGGAACCCGGGCTCGCGGTCTCCCCTCCCCGTCTCGCGGGAACCCGGGCTCTCACTCTCCTCTCCCCGGCTCGCGGGAACCAGGCTCACGGTCTCCCATCCCCGGCTCGCGGTAACCCAGGCTCGCGGTCTCCCCACCGCGGCTCACAGTCTCTCCACCTCGCTCGCAATAACCCGAGCTCGCGGTCTCCCCTCCCAGGCTCACGGTCTCCCCACCGCGGCTCACGGTCTCTCCACCTCGCTCGCAATAACCCGGGCTCGCGGTAACCCGGGCTTGCGGTGCCCTACCCCGGCTCGCAGTAACACGGGCTCGCGGTCTCCCCTCCCCGGCTCGCGGTAACTCGGGCTCAGGTCACCCCCCCCCCCAACACAACCACCGGGTTCGCGGTAACCCGGGCTCACGGTCCCCCGCCACACACCCCCGGCTCGCGGGAACCCGGGCTCGCGGTCTCCCTTCCCCGGCTCGCGGTAACTCGGGCTCAGGTCACCCCCCCCACCCCACACACACACCGGGTTCGCGGTAACTCGGGCTCACAGTCCCCCCGCACACACTCCCGGCTTGCGGGAACCCGAGCTCGCGCTCTCCCCTCCGCTGCTCGCAGTAACCCGGGCTCTCACTCTCCCCTCCCCGGCTCGCGGGAACCTGGGCTCTCCTCTCCCCGGCCTCGCGGTCTCCCCACCCCGGCTCGCGGTAACCCGGGCTCTCCTCTCCCCGGCTCACGGTCTCCCCACCCCGGCTCGCGGTAACCCGGGCTCTCACTCTCCCCTCCCCGGCTCGCGGTAACCGGGCTCGCGGTCTCCCATCCCCGGCTCGCGGGAACCCGGGCTCGCGGTCTCCCCTCCCGGGCTCGCGGTAACCCGGGCTCGGGGTCTCCCCTCCCCGGCTCGCGGTAACCCGGGCTCGCGGTCTCCCCTCACCGGCTCGCAGTAACCGGGCTCGCGGTCTCCCCACCGCGGCTCGCGGGAACCGGGCTCGCGGTCTCCCCACCCCGGCTGGCGGGAACCCGGGCTCGCGGTCTCCCCTCCCCAGCTCGCGGTAACCGGGCTCGCGCTCTCCCCACCCCGGCTCACGCTCTCCCCACCCCGGCTCGCGGTAACCCATGCTCGTGGTCTCCCGGGTTCGCGGTCTCCCCACCCAGGCTCACGGTAGCCCGTACTCACGGTAACCCGGGCTCGCGGTCTCCCCACTCCGGCTTGCAGTCCCCCCACCCAGGCTCGCGGTAACCCGGGCTCACGGTAACCCGGGCTCGCGGTACCCGCACCCCGGCTGGCAGTAATCCGGGCTCGCGGTCCCCTCTTCCTCCCACAGCGCTCACCGTCCCCGCACCCCGGCCCCCGGCCCCCTCCCCCCTGGGCCCACAGTCCACCTCCCCCCAGCGCGCGGTCCCCCGGGGCCCTCAGTGCGCTCCAGCAGGCTGCATGGTCGAGGCCACACCTCCCCACGACTCCACAGAGGGAATAACGGCATCAGAAGAGAGCCCCCAGCCCGAGCGCCTGTGCTTCTGCCTGTCGTTCCCACGAACCGTGGGGGCCGCGCCAGGACCAGTCCTCCACCTACAGACCAGCGCCCAGAGTCAGGGCCACTGCTGCGCAATTCCTCCTCCTCTCCATCAGGAGCTCCCCTCTCACCACGCTATTCCTAAAGGCACACCAACATTCTGCGATTACTCTCATCTTAAAACAAACAGAACAAGACAGAGCAAAGACCTTACACGACAGTAGAGACAAAAACACAGGTCAGGTATAAAACCCCCACGATTAGACAGACAGCCCACCTCAACAGCAACATGCATGCCCCCAAAAAGGAATCACTCTCAACCTATAAACGTGTACTCAGAGATCTTTTCTCTAAAGAATGAAGATAAAGACTGTTCTCAGATAAACAGCGAACCACCAACAGACTCCAGGAACGAAACAATCTTTGGACCCCGCTTCCCCCTCCAACCATCCATCAATCGGTTGCATCTGCCCCTCCCCTCCTAATCCCCGCAGTTCTCTCTCCAGTCAGGCTTCTGGCCCTACCATGCAAGTGAAACAGTCCTTGCAAAATCTCTATGTTGCCACATCATGTGGTCAACCCTCAGCCCACCTGCGCCATCGCAGCACCTGACAGTCGATCACGCCTCCTCCGTCTGCGTTCGCTTCCTCCAGCATCTCCTCCCGCCTCACCAGCTGCTCCTCCTCTGTCCCTGGGCCGGTTCCTCCCCTTCCTGCCCTCTCAGTCCTGGACCTTCTAGGACTCCGTCCCTGCACACCAGCTCTGCCCCATCCATCCATCCACAGCACGTCCTTCGCCATCTCGCCTGGCCGTGTGGCTTTCAGCACTGACCGCCACTGGATTCCTCTCTGGTCCGCACGTCCCCATGAGCCTCGGGCTGCCTCTAAGTACCTCAACCTGACATCCAATGGACACCACAGAATCTAATGTGTCCCAAATCAACTCCCACCCTCCCCCACACCTGCTCGCCACAGACACCCCTGCCGGCCCTCGCCCCCTCCCGCTCTCTCCCCACACCTGCTCCCCACAGACACCCCTGCCCGCCCGCGCCCCCTCCCGCTCTTTCCCCACAGACACCCCTGCCCGCCCGCGCCCCCTCCCGCTCTCTCCCCACAGACACCCCTGCCCGCCCGCGCCCCCTCCCGCTCTCTCCCCACACCTCTGCAGCGTTTCTTGAAGCAGTCTTCTACACTGGCTGGCTCCAAGTCTCACCCTCTCATTCTCTCTGCCCCTCCCCAAATCAGGCAAATCCCTCCCAACTCCTCTGGACTCATCTGACAGGGTCACGAAAACGCACATTATTACCGCCCCCCCCCCCAGGTGCCTTCATCTCAATCATGAGGCCATCACTCAGGCCAAAATGTGGATGTCATCCCTGACTTTTTCCTTCACATTCACAACCAGCCCATGACTGAATCCTATAGCCTCTGCCTTTAAAATACCTGTACCATGTATCTAGACTCCACCACCTTCACCATCACTGTTAGCACAGGGCCAAGCCATTGCTACCTCCCCGTGGATTACTCCACAATTCCTAATGGGCCCCCTACGTGTCTACAGAGCAGGCAGAGACTGGAAGGCAAACTGTGTCACTCTGTCAAAACCTCTAGCTGCATCTTATCTCATTCAGAGTAACAGCCAAAGAAATATCAATGCCCCACCCAGCCTCTCCCATCCGCTACTGCTCTCTTTGCCCAGCCGGCCTCAATCCCAGGGCCTTTGCACTTGCCATTTCCTCTGCTTGAGACACTCTTTCCTCAGAGATCTGTGGCTTGCTCACTCACTCATCTCTTTCAGGTCTTTGTTCAAATGTCACCTTCTTAGAGACCACTGCTGACTGCCTTGTTAAAAATGGCACCTGCCCTTCCACCACCTCCTGCTGTTTGTCTCTGCGGCCCTTGCTGCATGGCATATTACATGTTTCAGTCCTCCCTGCGCCAGGGAAACCAGCGAGGGCGCATCCTTAGGTTTTGTTCACTGCTCTACCCCAGCACTTAGAGCCATGCCTGGCAAACAGCAGACTGACGGACATGAACAGGTGTGATGAATGACCTCAGGTAGATTTTCATTTTCTTTTTGCTCCCCCACCATGGCAGAGTCGGCTGGGTGTTCGCCAGTTGGGCTGCCTGTTCTTCCACAGCAAACGGGCATAGGGCTGCCCAGCTAAACTGCGTGTACAGGCTTCCCTTGTGGTCAGGTGTGCAGTAGGCAGAGGCAGGCTGTGGGCAGCCCACGGAAACCCCACCGACCTCCTCCTCCGGGTCTTTCCCCTCCAGGGTGAAGAGCACTCGGCCTGAATCCCACGATGGCTTCACAGAGGGAGCAGAGCATCTAAGCCCACACCCCCCTGGAAATTCACACAAAGGAAAACTAAACTTCTGGCTTTAGATTCCTACAAGAGCCACCATTATTTTGGATCTCTTTGTTTGAAGAGCTTCATGTACCCCAAATAATACAGTCCTCTGGAGTCACCATCTTTTCTGCAATGAACACATAAAGTCTGTATGTTTTTAAACAGAGTGAAGGAGAGGTTAAAAATAAATATTATGAAGGGAACATTTAGCCTCTGTTTATGCTATCTTTTTTGTGATAAACATGGTTTCAAGTTGCACATCAAAATACTCCCAGCCTAGACATCTACAGGGTCATTGTCTGCAACACCGCCATTGTAAAGGACAAAAGCATTTCCTCTCCTCGGCGATAAATTTAGAAACCAAGTATTTCAACTCAGATTTTGTTATAAGAATACTCCCATGTTTAGTTTAAATTATAATCACTATATTTTGTGAAAAGAAATGTTATTTTAATGTTAATAAAACAGGGCATACATTGAATAGCAATATCATGGTGCTATTTGCAAACAAACAAAGCCAGAAAATTCCTTATATAAGAAAAGCATCTGAAAAGACTAAGTAAAATAAGCTTTAGCTTTGCTTTAAGAAGTAAAATTCGCCGGCATGCTTTAGCAAGGCTCCCGCGGCCGTATCTGCGGGTCAATCCCATTCAGCTGAGCGCTAATTCGACTGCAACGCCCTCACTTGGAAGGAACACGGCTCCCCAAAGGGCTACTTAAAAGCACATTTACCAAATGACAGAAATCGGAAAATTCCCCCAATTTGTACAACTAGAAATTTGAAATGTCACTTCTAAATAGTGGCATCCTGTAGAGGTACAATTTTTTTGGAGTCATAATTAATTAGGAGTAAATCTGTTGAAAATCAAGCAGATAAAATGCCCAGGACTGTTGGGCCTCTTTAACCAATTCTTCCGTAAGGGAGACAAGCTCACAACTTAAAATAAATAGAAATGTGTTCTTCAGAAGACTAAAGAAAAAATTGATACCTGCACATATCTTGGATTATGCACTGTGCCAAATGCAGAGCACTGGCTATCTTTAAATGACGTAATGATGGCATTTTCTCATCCTCGTCAGGCTCCAGCTACTAGCTAGACTTACATTCCTCTGGTCTCTGTAAGGCCTGAGGTGGGGGCCGCTTTCCACAGGGCCCTCTGCAGCTCTGTGGAGACTGGAGGCTGGGTCTCCTGAGTCTCGGTGGGCCTCATTTAACATAAGGAGGGACCCCAAATGTAATTTTCAGTTGCTCATGGACCAACCAAAAATGCACACCTGGAAGTGGAGTATGCTGGTGCCTTCGGGCTCAGCGCCAGAGTTTGGAAATCTGGGTTCATGAATATGCACAAAATGACCCAGGGCCAGTTCTTTTCTAGTCATATCAAAATCCACATAACATAAAATTTACCATCTTAACCATCTTAAAGTGTACAATGTAGTAGCTTTTAGTATATTCACAATGTTGTCCAACCATCACCACTCATTCCAGAACATTTTCATCACCCCAAAAGGAACCACATCCCCGTTAAGCAGTGAGGCCTCCCTCCAGTTCCTGGCAGCCACTGACCTGCTCTGTGTCTCTGTGGATTCAGCTGCTCTGGGCATTCCATATAAAGGGACTGAGACAGCATGGCTTCTTTCACCCAGCATGTTTTCAAGGTTCCTCCAAGTTGCAGCACATGTCAGAACTTCACTCAGGGCAGTTTAACACATGCTCTCCATGAGGAGTTTGCTCCTAGAACAACGTCCTGGTCACACAGCTGTGGCAGATGGAGTGGACAGCCCACTAATGGCCTCATGCCCTTTGCCCAGTGACCGTTTGGCACCTCCCATCAACTCAGGTGCATGGCCTGCCCTGGCCAATGGAACAGGAGAGAACTTTCCACAACTGTCTGGGGCTTTCAAAGGAGCTTGCGTGTTTCTGCTCACTGTTCTAGGGCCCTGCCTTCTGGGGGATGAGACACGGTGTAGAGCAGCGCTGATGAGCCCAGGCCCTTGAGAGGACACAGCCAAGAAGGCAAAGCTACCCAGCCGGCCACAGCAGGCCAGAAGCACATCCAGGCGGCCAGGAGACTCAGGCCAAGGGCAGATGTGGTTTGAAGCCGCAGAGTTCTGGGGAGCACTAGGTAAATGAGAGCGGAAAACACATTCCTCGAACCACCTGAGTGAGCAGCACGTGCTCTGCATTGCGGGCAGAGTCAGAAGCAGACACGGCCTCTGCCCTGCAGCGTGTTCACCTAGCTGGGAGTTAAACTTCAAGAACTTGAACATCACGTAAGCAATAACGTTTAGGTACATTGGAATTAACAGCTAAGTATGTGACAAACACTGATTCAAACACACCAACAATAAAAAAACATTTTTGAGACGACCGGGAAACCTAAGCAGTAACTGTCTATTTGATGATATTAAGGAGCAGCCATTTCTCAAGATTTGGTATTGGGTTC